ACGAGTTACATCGCGTTGCTAATCCCGACGTGTATCTCGTTGAAAAAGTTTTGCGCAAAAGAGGGGATGAGGTTTATGTAAAGTGGTTAGGATTTGATAATTCACACAATTCATGGATACACAAGAATAATGTATTGTAAAAATTTATTACAGTATAAAAATATACATATATACATATGAGTCATTTATTTTCCTAAATATCTAAATGTAATTACAGCGGTATTGACAATATATTTACAATAGTACTTACAATATATTTACAATGGTATTTTATAATGTCCCCATGGCAGCGTTTCGGTAGAACCGGGTATAATGTATCGCTTATCATCGTACGGACTTAGAGCTATTTTTGTTTCGGACACGGTGTATACCTCATGTTTTTTGGATCTTATGCAGGTTTGCTGTCGCGTCATTTCAATTTCGTCGCGCAGACACCGCGTGTAATCGTCGAACGTTATCGACCTGGCTACGACGTTACTCTTAACACCTTTAGCTTTTTTGGTATCTTTCTTACCGTCCACTCGCAAGGCGTACATCTTTGCTCTAAGCCCGACGAATTCGGTCATTATCGCACCGTTATTTTCGTCTTTCATTAAGCCCGGAACTTTTTTATTGACGAGTGGGATACCATACGTATTATCAATCGCGTAATCGCTAGTGTCAAATCTATGAATGTGGCGCTTCATGATATCATACACATCGTCGCACTCGATGTGATAAATGAGACTGTCAGTATCGGTGTACGTGACTTTACACTTGTCGCGATACAACGGTAACATGTACTCGTGATGAAATTCGTACAAACATGTCTTGGATATATCGAGGATGCACATACCCACATAGATTGGTTTGTCGAACTTCACCTCGAGTTTTCGCATTTCTATTGCTACTAAATTCTCCGAAAAGACGCTTCGGCTATGAAAATTTGGTTTCGCAATCATAGCCTCCGCGCCGTATCTACCCTCCCAATGAGTCACGAGTCGCACGTCAACGTGATTGCGCACATTCTCCATGGTTTTGCCAAACACGGCATTGTTCATCAATTTGTATAAATTTTTCTCGAAATCATTGTTGGCCAACGTTCTAAATTTCGTATTGAGGTCTATATAATCGCGAAGCCATGGAGATTGCGCGAATTTTAGTATACGGTGAATTTTTGATATACGGAGACCGTGACGAGTACACTGCTGCAGGTTGCGATAATGTATTACATAACGTTTCTTATCGTATAATGTTGCGAGGAGCTTGTCCTGCCGCTTGCCGGGTGGTTTATCGCGCGTCGGACAGAACGGTAGGTCAGTGTGCGCGTCGTGAAGATGTTGCGGATACTCCAAGTCGACTTCGAGAATGTAGCCTATCGAGGAATCCGACGCGACATCCATAACATTAAAATCGGTTACGTCGTCGACCCATTTAAAATCTGCGTACGGCAATGGTTGACTCATTGCCCAGCCGTATAAGTTATTTACATCAAAATACATGAGGTACGACGACGGTTTCGATGGATCGTACGACTGCATGTACTTGTTGTTGGCCAGCGCGTATCTGTTTGAACATTGACTCAAACCGCCGCGTATACCGCGTTCGATAAACATGACCATGTCAATGTCGGTGAGCAATTCGAAATTGATGTGTGTATGCTTCAACATAGCATCCCACGTAAAACCCGGTAGAGTATAATAATACGCCGGATCGAGTCCATAACTCGCGACGCAACTATCGCGAAAATTTTCAAAGATATCGGCCAACAGCAAGACATCAGTCTTGAGATATAAATCGCTGTAATCACCGAGCGTTCGAATGGAGAACCGCTGCCAGACGTCGACGGCGTGCGCGTAATCGCTCTCGGATACGGTGTCACCTGTCAATGAACTATAAAACGAGTCGCGCGGTGGTAAACACAAGTCCTCCAATTTTTCGACGCAGTCAATGTATTCATATGGAAATACGCCTTTTCGTGTCAGCAAATTAAAATTTTCTGCGGATAATTCACAAAATTCGCGTTGCAATATTCGCAGTTTATCCCTGCTGAGATAAGATGCCAATTTGTCGAGACTAGCGGTAAGAAACTTGTACGAATCGATAAATCGCAATTTGACGCACGTTTTCTTATCTTTATCTTCGGTGCTTTGAACGTTTTTTGTAAACGAAATATATTTTTCTTTTGTGATCGGGAGTAAATCTACATGTCCTTCGTATGCTGTTGCTATTTCAGTTATAATAAAATGTGCATCGTATCCCGATAAATTATGAAACACTATGGGAATGCAATGCGAATCTTTATAATTTAAGTAACAATTCGAATGCGCGGGACCTCTGTATCGACCGGTCAGGTGACAATGGTCGCGTACTCGCACGTCGTCTGGCTCGAACGGTTCTTCGCACACGTGACAGTGCGTTGCGCTGTTAAACTTTTCCCACTCGTCTCGCGTGAAATCTGCCATGGGTATATTAGTGGACAATATAGTTTTTACGTCGTGAGCTAAACGTCTTAGCTCCTCGGCGAACCACGCGACGCAATCCTTATCGCGACGAAACCGATACATAGATAACGACTCGTCGTATGAGCAACGCACGTAGTACCCTATGCTAAACACGCGATGATGTTGATATGTGTACCTGGACGTTTCCGGATCCGCTTCCATCTTCTCCAGGGTACACTCCAGGTCGGCGTATACGACAAACGGAACTCGTTCCTTCCTGTTGTGATTTTTAAAGGCCAACCACTTGTCGTTATCGCTCGGTAACTTGATCGCGCAGTCATTCATCTCCTGACAGTCGACGGTGTGGGCAGCCAATTTCTCGTTGGATCTGAAGTAGTGCAAACATCTGCAAAAAAAAATAAACGCAAATATTATAAATTTTTTATACACAAAATATTCTATATATTATTAAAAGAACTATAGGTACTTACCGATCGCAAAAGTATTTCCGACCATGGCGACTGTTGATTTGCGAGCTCACGAGGCGGGACAGGTTCTTGATCCAGGCAAAATGTCCCACGTTGTCGTTATGCACATACAGCAGATTTACGTGTCTGTTCATCTTTCGGTCAGTAACACGTATTGGCAAGATAGCAAGTTCCTTGTTTTTTTTTTTCGATGCTGTACACGTTGATGGAGATGTTGTTGTAATTTTCAAATTTTTTAATTTGATCCAACGTCATTGGAAACTTAATGTCCGTAAGATCTAGCACCGACGTGTAATGTGGATACGACGATTCCAGATCTGCATTTCTTTGGGCTGGATGTAGAGCAGCCGTCACTGACCATGCGAAACATGCATTGTCCATTGATCGCACGTTTATCACCGCCTTCTTCTTTTTAATTTCTAGCGGTATTTCCACAAAACACCCCGCGTGCAACGGATTGTATTTGTTCACGTTTACCATTAAATTGAGTATACGCGACAACGCCCATCCGCTATCACGTTCCTGGAATTCCTCCAGCTTTGCTAAGGTAGGCTCGATGACGTGTTGCTTGTACCACTCGTGCAGATTGGACTCACGAAAGAGTTCATAGTTTCTCGTTGCGATACTTTTATTTGCGCGTTTGTCACCCGCAACAAATTCACCATTAAACACTGTGTTAATTTTTACATTGTCATGTTGTTGCATGACGTTCCGCACACGATCGAGTACAATTTCTCTCGCATCTTCGAGAAATTGATGAGGGTCGATGTGTTTGGAATTTATTACCGCACCAGTCAATATACGGCTTTCAAAAGCCGTATCTATCTCGCGCCATCTGAGTCCTGTCTCACTTGCACTGTATCCTGCTCCCACATGTACGAAACGTTGACGTACCGAATCTTTCAGACCTTCTAGTCTTGCGATACAAGCGATCAATGACTGTTTGAGACCGATCGATGACTGATCGATTGATAATCGTGGCCGTTTAATTCGGCTTTGTTCTTCCAACGATGCGATAAACTCGTCGCATCGTTGCTCCCACGCGGTAAATTCTTCCCTCGAATTTAATAGGGTGGATTGCTCTAACAACTCTTGCTCCATGTTATTACACGATCCTCTTTCTAACACAATTTGTTGTGCTCACGACTTCCAGTTCTCGACTATTGAGCGTATCCCCTAGATTCGTCATTTTATATTCTACTAATGATGCATCGTTTGCTTATCATATCTAATTTCATCTCAGCAGCCATACATCGGCGCTATTTGCAAAATTTGCAGTTTTGCACGTGTTCGATGAAATCATTGCGAGACACGTACGTTCACGAAAACGCGCCATTGACTTTTGGTGATTTGATCTGTATCAATGCAGCGGCCGTACATCGGCGCTATTTGCAGTTTTGCACGTGTTCGATGAAATCATCGCAAGACATGTCGCGACATGTTCTTCAAAACAATAACGCTCCATTGAATTATGCGAAATTGCAAATTTTGCAGTTTTGCACGTGTTCGATGAAATCATCGTGAGACATGTCGCGACATGTTCTTCAAAACAATAACGCTCCATTGAATTGTGCGAAATTGCAAATTTTGCAGTTTTTGCACGTGTTCGATGAAATCATCGCGAGACACGTCGCGACATGTTCTTGAAAACAATAACGCTCCATTGACTTATGCAAAATTGCAAAATTTGCAGTTTTGCACGTGTTCGATGAAATCATCGCGAGACACGTATGCTCTTAAAAAGAAATCATATTTGATGCCCGATGAGGTGATCTCATCACGAATGTTCTTGACAAAGATATCACATTTAACGTATATGTGGATTGTGGTGGCGGTCACCATGCAGCAGCCGTGCATTGACGCTATTTTTGCAAGATTTGCAGTTTTGGGTATGTATAAATGGTCTACGAGAATTCTAGAGCGCAGTCGAGTTACTCGCGCAGTTAAGAGTTACTTGCGCAGTTGAAAGTTAATATATCTGTAAAAAATACAGTATGGGAACGGACAGACGCTATTGCTCGTCAATGGTGCGTTTGCTTCGTGGCAGAGAAATTGGATTTCGAAACGTACTTACTGGCAATGACACATGGTGTCCCAAGCATTCTGTATTGCATATCACTAGAACTGAACATAATTGGGAGGCTCTGGACTCATACGTTAAAACATGTTGGTGTATGGTTCGTGGCAGTGTTCGTAATGTTTATGATGAAGGATCAACACATGGGATTATCTGGAGATCACTCGTGCCACATTGGCCTATTGGAAACAAGCTCTGTTTACAGTGTGGAGGGGAATGCAAAATAAAATGGGGTCCGCTAATATTTGTATCCCCATTCGCTCCGAGGATTCTACCGATGCCACTTCGATATGTATGATGACATAATGAACTACTACGTTCCGATTCAGGACGAAACGTGCGAGAAACAGCATAATGAGTAAGTACCGTTATTTTGTATATAATTGTGCATAAACTGTTTATATACCTTTGCTTATTTATTTGTATTTTTTCAGTTTTGATAAACCCCGTTGTATGCCACGTATTTTGGGAAGGAGATTTGCCTTGACATCTACAGCTTACAAATATTTGGATGTGGGAATCAACGTGGGACCTATGTCCTTTGTGGATATACTTATTGGCGATAATCGAGGAAATCAGATAGTGTTACCCCATGCGACGTGGACGGCGCTCATCGAAAGACGTATGGATATTGAACAACTTTTGGAGTCAACTATCGGTTCTTCGTTATCGATTCACGATGCTGTTATAGAACTCGTAAAAATGCGCGATGCGAGTGTTGTAAAATTGACATCGTGCAACACCAGCTTGTACATGAAACCGTCAACTGTACTCTTCCTGTTCGAACTAGAACATTGTGTCAAACATGAATATTTCAAGCTGTATCAAAATACGCATGAAGTAAATATGAAATTTAATCAATTTGTAACTATTTTACGGCGGAAATGTATCATCGACAGATGTAATGCGGCAAATATTTTGCGTGAAATTTATGATGAAAATTCAATTATTGATTGTGAATTATTAGCCTACGCTTTAGATACTATTGTGTATAATGCGCTACATGACAAATAAATAAGTATATTATAGTAAAAAAAAAAATTTAAATTATTTTTTCTTTTCGTTTACCGTTCCTCCTATTCTATGTCATTAGAATTACGCTGCGATATTGTCCTCAGGTTTATTTAAATAAATTAATGAGAATTATTCGAGAATTAAGATACTGTTGAGAGAGGACATGAATATGAGCTACGAAGAGGAATGACCGCGAGCGGGAGACAAATAATACGCGAATAGATAGGCGAATGATGGGGATAGCAAGTGAGATATGATGATGCAAGTGAGAGAGGATAGGTAAGAAGAGGTGAACAAAGAGAGACATCGTGCGCGAACAGGGCCGCGGCGCCCGAAAACGCGAACGCTCCGCGGCGCGGCGAAACGCGAACGCGGGTCCCCTCGCCCCGCGGCGCCCGAAAACGCGAACGCTCCGCGGCGCGGCGAAAACGTGGATCCCCCCTCGCCCCGCGGCGTGGCGACAACGCGGTCGCCCCGCGGCGCCGGAAAACGCGGACCCCCTCACCCCGCCGG